TTGATATTATTCTTTTACACTTTTATATTAAAATAAAGATAATATTACATATTTTAATATATATTTTTTGAATTATTTAGATTAAATTGTTCTAATTTTAATAATTTTTATATACTTTAATTATAAAAAAATTATTGACTTATATACAATTAAAATAACTTGATCAGATTAAATCTAAAAAATTTGAAAAAAATATATATAATCAAATCTCTCTATAGTCATATCCATTTATAGTTACACTTCTCTATAGTCATTTTTATTTTGCTTTCCTATTTATATATAAATATAGTAAAAAAATCTCTCTATAGTCACATTCTCTCTATAATTATCAAATTTTGCTTTTCCAAGAATAATGACTATAGAAAGCTTTAACTGTATTAAAATATATAATATTATCTTTAAAAATAAAAAATATTTTATAAAGAAAAAACTCATATTTTATTATATTTATTAAATAATTTTAATGATATTATATTATTTTTGATTGTTACTATAAAATTTGATTAAAATTAATATAAAATATATAATAAATAATTTAATTATTAAATATTAAGATTTAATTTTACAATAATTACAATTAACTTTCTTTATAGTTATCATTCTTAGGAAAGCAAAATTTGATGAAACTATAAAAGGGTGTAATTATAGAGATATTATTTATATAAATAGGAAAGCAAAACAGAGTGACTATAGAGAAATTGACTGTATTAATTAAATCTTTATAAACTTTGAAATATATTTTTATCAAATATATAGCAATAAGTATATTTCTAATATTGCAAATTGATAAATATTTTTTTTAGAAAAATATCACTTTATTTATTATTGAATAAAAGTGTAAAAGAATAATATCAATAATATAAATAGTTAATTTAGATTATTCTTTATTTAATATAAAAATTAGAGCTTAGTTAATTTTATTAGTAATTATTAAGATAGAAATCTTTGCATCAGACCATAATAATAAAATAGATATCATTATAATTTTGTAAGCATAATTACTAAAATTAATTTAATTTGACAGGAAAAAAACTAAATTCTGAATTAAAAGAATATAATAAAAATTTTTATATTTATAGATACTGAATTATTTCTGGATTACCATGAATATTTGAAATTAAAAAAGATATTTTTAAATACTTTTTATACGTATTATTTCTTATAAAAACATATAGAATTTGAATTATCTCTAATCTTTAAATTAATCTTTGACAATAACCTCTTTTACCTTAGAATTTTTTCGGACATACAATATGCAAATATTGTACATGTACGTGTATGTAAAAATCACACGAAACTTTCCACGACAAGGATAGCGAGAACGATAATGGTTTCTTTAATTATCCAGGATGCATACTTTACAAATAGCATCAAAACATTGAGTCTATGCACTCTTTACACAACTAGGGTCATTTTATATATACGCATCAAATTGATATAGCATTAGTAACCTTAAAACAATACATCAATTAAAACGTTTAAAGAACCTTAACAGCCTGTTAATTGATGAGTTTCTATAACTTCCTATTTATAGGATTATAACTTAATTTTTGGTTATTTAAAATGTATGTACATATGGGTAAAAGATGCTCTTAAATTCAATCCCAAATTTGATGTTATAGCACTTTTGTTAATACACTCAAACCTCGTTATAGTGAAGACATCGGGTAAAGGAAAAAATTTTCCCTATGCTTATACCGAGAGAATATTATATAGCTTCACTATATCGAGTTGAAGTTTATTAATGATTCTAAAAAAAATTCACACTATATCGAGAGTGAGTTGTAATAGTATCGTATCCTATCAAAATTAAGCGCCACTAAAAACGAGTGGTTCATATTTCCGGGCATTTCCGCCCAATTCGAAATTATTGTCATTTAAGACGATTTTATACTTATAATTTAAATCTATAGTATTTATTCATAGCGATAGTTTTACTTTTTTTTAATAGGGTGGTGTTGGGCTGTGACCGAAACTAGTTTTGACTGCAAAAATTTTGCCGAAAATATGGCTTAAACTTAAATTTTATAGCAGAAACTTAGTTTTTACTATAGTCGAAACTTGATTTCTACGTTTATCATTCAACCCTAGGGTGACAGTATATGGATGATTTAATGGAAAATGTGTTGCCAATTCTGCTATGACAATTCCATTTTATTTTTATTCGTATTTTTCATTAGCTTCTTAAAAGTATTATGATAAACGAAGCTTTTACAGCTAGAAATCACATCTTTACATTGCGGTGTCGATTTGAAAATAAATGCACTGATTTTCTGTGGGTAGCAATTCGTGATCTAGTTGCCCAATCAAATTTTTTGACTTTATATTTTGACGGGTTCATAAATAAGATCTTAATATAGTTTTGATTCTAATATTGCTTCGACTTACAGGTTTATTAATAGGTTTTTAGACGGTGTGCCAGGCAACTGTACTTCATGATCCTCGTATGTCTGTTATTCCATCGACGTTAACCAAAAAACACATTGTGCTAAAGAATTACGCTGAAAATCTCGTCTCTAACTGCACAGAACTTCTATCCTTAAACATTACCGTATGAATTTTTGCAAGGAATGATGTAATTCAGAACTTTCAATAATGTTAGGTCTGTGTACATGTATTAATAATACGTAACGGTAATGTTTTTCATATATGCTCATTATTGCGAACTTATACATGTATGTTTGTTCCATTAATATCAGCAATCAATTAGCTAATTTTGTTAATTTGTGTCGAATTTTAAATCCACAAATAAAGGAATGCCTAACAATAATTTTATGAAAGCATTTGCTTGTTAAAAATTTAAAGTAGATAACTATATAGCAGAGGGAACAACAGTAACTGCGTACCCTTGAATTGACATTTGCTAATTAATGATTAAAAGATAAAGAAAAAATCATAATGGCCGTTAAAGTTTTTTTTTTCGCAAAAGCATTTACGGACATTCCGTTTCACTGCAAATAAATTCACCAAAAAACAGTAAAATAATTCTTTTTTCTCTAGAAATTCGTGTTAACATGATATGATATAAAAGGTAAATTAATTAATACCGCTTACTTGTGTAAATGCCTACAGGTAAGAAAGTATTGATTCATTTCCCAAAATTGAAATCCAAAAGAAACGCGAATTTATGGGTGCGTATGGCAGCATCTTAAAAAGGCTTATTACATGTTTAGCTGTTCTGCACGTAATATTTTGTCGGGGTTTCCGTCTGCGCGTTTTCCGTCTACACGTCAGAGTTTTCCCGCGCTTTTAAGTTCTATTTATGTTATTGGTGTCTAAATTCATTACCCGGATATACGTAATGTTTTCCGAGTTTAATTACTGTACAATATTTATGTGCATAACGATAATTACTTTTTACTCGTTTTTCGTTCACCGAACCTAGGGACAATCATGCCGAACATGTGATTATCAGAATAACTAATTAAGCAAAAAAGTATTCGTGATACCAATACCGATACTCAAAAACTCCAGATATCGACATTCTGTAACGGTAATGATTAATTTTTACCCAGATTCGTGTTGCACTGTAAAATGTTTATGACACAAACGGATTTTCGTTTCTGATAAATGAAAAAAAAAGAAAAACAAACAAAATCCCGTTTTTCTCTATGAATGCTTTTAAGAAACTATGTGGTTTGTTTTGTTTAATGTTGTATTGTTTGAAAAGACGAAACGTTACTTTGAATAATTTTACTACTAAAACAAAATCATAAGAACAGGAATCAAACAAATATCGAAGGAAAAGCTTGTGTGTTTGTTTTTTTTCGCCGAATCAATCCTTTAATCCTTTGTTCAATAAAGTTTTGTGGCACGCAAAATACAGAATAAATTGATCGTTCCGTGTCCCTTGTGAGATTTCTATAGACAATACAAGTTTTTTCTCACGCGTTGATTCCTGTCACTCTGCATTGTAACTCGTTTCAATCATATACTAAAATAGCCTATCGCTATTATTGAGGTACACAAAATAATATAAAAAAACAATTGTCATTATATTTTGTTTAATGAAAATTCACAAGTACAAACAAATACAAAGACACATATGGAATTCATGGCTCCTGAACAATACATGATCTCTAACGATTTTTTTTTATTAAAAAGAATGAATCGGTTCTCCGGTGAACGATCGGTAATTCAAACTTTAAAAACATTGCAATGAGACGAAAATGACACAACATGCCATCCTTAGTGTTTCAGTTTATGCATATATAACAATTCTTGACTTCTTAGCATCCAAATATGATTCGGTTTGATCCTTAGTTTAAACTACTAATAACGATAACGTAAGATTCAATAAAATAAACCAAGTACATGTACTATTATAAATCAAACTTTTTCTTATATAAAGCAAACTTTTGATCATAAAAAACTGCAATTCTTTTCATACATGCAAATTCCTTAAAAAATGACTGACAATATTGATATTGCTTATCTTATGCCTTTCAAGACTCAGCAACAACAGCTTTATTATCATCACTTCGAAAACTTTAATGCTAATAATGAAAATCATGCCATATCATTCAATGTTATCAATGCTTCCTTATATTCTTCTTCAGAAAATAATGATCCAATCTACTTTCACCTGTCTAATGTCAATTTCAATAGTAACAATAATTCTTTCACCGATAATGAGATTCATGATAGTATTCATTACGATAATAATGAGATTTCAGTTCATCAACATTTAATCACGTTCACTTCCTGGAATCACTACCAACAACAACATTATTCCAATTCTCTTGCAAGTTCTACAACCGTAAATGAAAATTGTATTGAATATTTCAATCAATACCATACAAATTCTGATAATTATCAGTATAACGATAATAATACATGTACTGATAACGATAGCAACTATAATCATACTGATGATGATAATTTTAATTGTCATCACGAACAAAAATACGACATTTATGAAGAAATCGTTACTCTTGCAAAATACAACACAGCTGAAATATTGACAAATCCAACTCAAAATGATCTTAAAGCAGATGAAGATTGCAATAAACATTATAGTGATAGCGACAATAGCGATAATGATTTTCATTTTGAAATTTGCAATTCGTCACACGAATTGATGAATTTCTTCGTTGAGTGAACGTGAATTGTAAATAGTTTAGTTTCACTTTAAAGTGTTGCACTAGTCCAAATGTCTAAATGCAGTAGCGATTCGGTGCCATTTCAGTTGACAATTTTATCGAATTCGTTCGGGTTTTGCTGAATTCTGCGGCAATTCTGACGAAATTCGGAGATACGATAGCCCTGCATTTAACATTTAGACTAGCGTTAACCAGCATTGTTTTTTATATTCATCTTGAAACGCGCGTTTATTTATTTAATGTGATAAATACCTATTTATTGGTTTCTATTTGTATAATTTGTAGATTACATACAACACAATTTTTCTAAAAGCCCCCAATTGAACAGTGTTCTCGTTTTCGTGCGTTCATTGTTGTATTTTTCGCCAACGTCAATGCATTATATAGCTCATCATTTAAAATGAGTTAATGTAAATTATTTAAAGGGAAGTTTTGTTTGGTATAACTTTATCTACTACATGTACTTACTTCACTATTGATTTTTTTGAAAAAAACTTTTTGTGCTATGATAATACTAAATAATCCAGATTCTATAAGTATTTGTAAGCAAATATCTTAAGACACGTCTCGCTGAATTCTGATAATTTAATCCAGATGCGTGTTTACACTGTTTCGAGCATATTCGCGAGCGCTAACTTAGAATGCTATTGTCCTATTATTAGCCTAGTGATGGATGCAGATAAAAATAAGATATGTAAAATTAAATCAGTGGTAATACATGTATTAATCACTCGTTTTGATATATTCATGTACATAATCTTGTAGCATAAATCAAAATTTTCATTGTCTTTCATAATTTTTAGACTACACGTTACGCTTTCAAACCGGACAGATAGAACCCGAAGTTTTTACTGTGGAACGAGTCCACTGCGTAGTTAACGGGAGTAACGTGTATTTCATTGTTTCTTAAGAAAAAGAAAAATTCTTTGTTAGATTGTCTCGCACACCAAAAAACTTGTTTTACTAATAAAGTAAAGTTTCATGTACAAATCTCTTTCCAGTCAGAGTTTGATTCGTTAATTCCTTACTATGCAACAAACTAGTTATGTGTTATTAGTACTCCAATCGGGTCGGGTCAAATCCGTGACCCGACCCGGAATATTTCGAATTAGGCTGAGAATCGTTATTTCTCGTTCAATATTAATTCAAATTGAACGAAGATTTGTAAATATATACAAAATTATATTCCGAACAACTCTACTTAAGAGACAAGAGGCTCTAACTAATATTTTAGAGCCAAACCAACCAAATCCAGAACAGGAAATAACCAAAAAACGATTATACAAGTGTTTTAGTAAAAATAAAAGTTATTAACGAAAAACTATTTTACGATTTTCGGATCAAACCCGACCCGAACAGAGCTTTATGTGTAATACATATACTTAATGTAGCATGACTTCATTCATGGCGTATACAAATTACAATTCAAATCGAATTAGAATGGTTCGATATCGAGATACAAAAATAATGCACACTTTCAAATTTACTATTAAAATTTTATTTTCATCAAAACAATACCGTGTAACGATAAAGTCTACCGCTATCGCTATTTATTTCGATAATAATATGATTTAAAAAAATGGATTGTTTTTGCTCTAGACGCGTTGACGAGGAAGTTGACACCAACCCAATGACGATGAAGAGGCTGATCGTTTAATACGATATCATGAAGGTATTTATATTTGTTTTGAAAGAACAAATAAATTGTCGTTAATTTGATAATATTTTATTTCCGGATTCATAAGCGATGAAAGATATATGGGGAGGATTATTTAATTCACCTATTGAAGAAAGTTGAGACAAGGAGCTCAAGTTATTGACATTGGGTATAGCAATCTCCTATATATTCACTATATCGTAAAACACTCATAAAGTAATACCCCTTCCCTTGTAGAATTTTTTGGTAAAATGAATAAAACAAGACTCACAGTGTGATTTCTTATTATCTTTGAGGTTAAATTAATGTTTAAAGTTTCTACAAAAGGGGAGGGGATACTTTATGCATCGCTTTATGGTAATGGGTTTTAAGCATATATTTAATTATATCAACAATTTCAATACTAGATGCGGTGCTGGAACTTGGATATTGGTAAATATAATATATCTTTAAATAGGATCTTTTTTATTTATAACAAAACATAGGATATGGCAAGACAATATCCCAGGTAAGGGTAGATCTATCACCAATCTTCTCATCTGAAGATCTTCCTGTCAATGTAAAGTTTATCCAGTATAATCTCCTGGATGAGCTTCCCTTTGAAGATTCACATTTTGATTTTGTTCACCAAAAATTTCTTGTTGCAGCATACACACAAACACAATGGGAAGAAAAAGTTATCCCTGAATCATTAATATTAAATCGACCAGGTGATTGGATAGAGTTTCTAAAAGCTAATGTGTTTTATTATTCTAATGAGAGTGCTACTCAAAGAATTGTAAAAGCCTATAATTAATAAATTTCTATTTTCAAAGTTTTATATGATCAAATGAGCATTGTGTTATTACAAATAATACAAGAATATATTACAAAAATAGAATTCAGAAAATATAGTACAAAACATAAAAATGCACACTATCACATGAAAATTGGATATGAAAATCAGTACTCAATATGAAGCTAAAAAAGATGAAAATTCCCAATATTATGATTTTATCCCTGAATATTATAGTATAAAATTTCTTTTTAATTTCTTATAATTTAATTTATTATTATTTATATATTATTTGTAACATTTTAAAATTTTTATAAAAACATCAGAAAAATATTAATTCTTTTTTTTAGATAAAAAAATCAAAAATAACAATTTTATAAATTATTTAATATCATTTTATTTTTTTATAATTATAATTTTATAATATTGCTATTTACTATTATTCCTTACTATGCAACAAACTAGTTATGTGTTATTAGTACTCCAATCGGGTCGGGTCAAATCCGTGACCCGACCCG